CCTGAGCACAGATACTGCCTCCTATCACTCCTCCCCAGACAGAACGAAGCACTGCCCCCCCTCAACGTGGAACCAATATGGCCATCGAGTGCTCAGACACTGGTGCCCCCTCTCCCCTTCTCCATTCTCTCCCCAGATACTCCAGTCTCCCAGGACCCCAAATGTAACCAATAGGACGGTGATGTCCAACGTACCAAGTCACAGGTTGAACCCGGGATGCTTGGAATGCAACATTTTATGTTTCAGGATGCTGAGCTATGATAGCCAACCATCAAGGCTTGAAGCTTTTTCCACAGCTGTGGTTCAATGTTTTAAAAACACATGAGCTTTAGCACGTCAGGGTCAAGGATGATGGGAACTGGAGTCCAAGTAAACCTAGAAGGTCACAACCTCCCCCGTGTTAAAAGAATGTGGTCTAGAAGTAAACGGCTTTTGGGTTCATGAGCAGTGAAAGGTCTCTGTTTACATGGACTCTTGAAACGCCACAAGGACGGGAGAAAACTCATAAAGCAAACCAGCCTCATCCAGCCAGATGCCCATTGGATATCTTAGACTACAGTTCCCATCACCTCCAGCCAGCACCAGGACCAGAGACGATGGGAACCATTATCCCGTCCCTCTGGAAGGAGACATGTTTTTGGAGCCTGTCAGAGGATTGCACTATTTTTATTTTTAAAAAAAACGGAAAGAGGGACAAAGAGGGGAAAATATCCACAGTTAATAACCCTTCTTTGATTTCTGAAAATGACAGACTGTTTAATTTTCTTACAAAAATACTACCACAGATTCCCACTCCTCACCACATCCAGAAAGCCAGGGAAACAGCTATTTTAGAATGTACTTCAGAACTCTTATTGATGGGGGGACGAAAGGGAAGTTAATTCACCAAAGGAAAGTTTAAAATTGCCATCCTTTCCTGACAGGGCTGTTCTACCCTGACTGAAAGACGTTATCCGGGATCGCGCCCGATGGCAAAGGAAAGCCTGGCTCTCTTCCTAGATTTTTTGATTGGCATGAAACGAATAAAGATCTCCACTTGATCTCCACTCAACTAAATACTGCAGAATCTGCTGCTGGCAATACAATTTTTTTAAAACAAAAGGAAGAAGTTTTTCATTTTTGCTTCATTTTTTAAAACGGCTAACTGTTTTGGCTAAAGAAACCTTGGATTTATGTGAGAATGGGCCAGACAGCAACGGGATCTTTGGGAATTGCATTCTACGGTCAGAATCTGTGCCCTGAACAGCATTTCCCCCGTAACTGACCTCATTTTCTTTTTGACTGAATTTATGCACAGCATAAATTCAATGCTTGCAGGTGCCTTGAGGCTTAGGGTCCTTCCCCCCCCCTTCCATTGTCCTTCTCAGCGGTGCCAAAAACCTGCTTGAGAGAATTTCTCTCCAAAAGCAGGTTTTTAGGTCCTAAAAGGAACTCCTGGTGGGAGGGAGAACCGTCCTCCTTTCCTGCCAGCTGAGCTACGTGACTGGACAATGGTTAAATTTCTTTGCTGAGAGCAAAATTAGGCTCGTTTTCAAAACTGTTATCTATTTCCACTTGTGGTTCACTTTTCAAGAAATGGTGTTTCAAAAATCCAGACCATTATTTCACAGAACCCAGTTCCTCCTGGTTCCAGCGGTTGAAGAAGATCTTTAGAAACCATTTTTTTGCTCTGGAACTCCTAGCTTCTCCTCTTGCACGCAACTTGATCAAGCATTTCAGCTTTGAGCTGCAGTTATTCTAGTTTCGGATTGATTTATTCAGACTTTTATTCTTGACCTACAACACAGGTTCTCAACTTTGGGTCTTGAGATGTTCTTGCACTAAAACTCCCAGAAGCCTTTTCACCATTAGCTGTGCTGGCCAGGATTTCTGGGAGTTGTAGTCCAAGAACATCTGGGGAGATAAGGTTGTTAAGCACTGCCAAGGATCAAAGTTTCAGGTTAAAAAATAAATAAGAATACTGACCCTGCCTTGTGCTTTTAATGGGAGTGTGATCTGCTGAAACTCATTTCTAAAGTCGAAAAATAAATCTTCAGTTATTTGCATTTTTGTTTGTTTTTCATATTTTGGGGTGGGGGATGTGAATTTAATTTTTGTGTGCAAAAAGCTTGCATTTTGTGTCAAAAACATGTTGTTTTCGGCAAAATCCAACCTTTTCTATGGAGAAGACTACATTTTTTTTTGGTTCAGTGGGGGAAATGCTAAACTTTTTATTCTTCAGGGGAGAAAAATATGACATCTTTTGTCATTTGTTTTTGGTATTCCAAACTGGCAATACAGCCTTTCTTTTCAGGGGCAAGAATGAATATTTGTTACCCATTAATTCTACAGAAATAGTTGATGTTCAAGGCACAAGTGTGGAGGTGAGCAAAAAAGCTGGCAAACCAACCACAGAACCTAAACAATTCCAGTGCTGACAATATTGTTGCTGAAACACTGAAAGACAGCTTGAATTATGTCTATGCCACAAAATATATGAAGACGTAACTTACTGGTAGCCTAGCCAGTGTGAGCCTAGATGCCATTGTTTTTTAAATATACAACAGGACCCTTGTATTCACGGAATCAGTATCTGCTGATTCACTTTTCCAGTCTGAAACCATTAAATATATTAAAAGAAAAATCCTAGAAATATGTATTTCTAAAGATGAAGTTACCAGAACTGACCTGTAGAGGGAACCAGAGACCATGTTATGTATAGCATTTGCTTGAAAAATATATATATCTATTATGTAATTACCAGAACAGGCCACTAGGGGGAGCCAGAGACCATGTTATGTATAGCACTTGCCTTGAAAAATATATATCTATGATGTAATTACCAGAGCAGGCCACTAGGGGGAGCCAGAGACCATGTTATATATAATATTCACTGTTAAAATAGTGTTTGCTATAATTTGCATATTTCAGTATTCACGGATGTGGGAGTCCTAATTGATATGGTAACTGCCCCTTTTGTTCTGAAGAAAAAAAGCAACTAGAGGAGCCTGATGGAGAACAACTAATTTGGGGTGCAGCCCAATTTATAGTCTGATTGGGGAAAAAATAGGAAGTTTAAGCAGGCCAGTCTGAACAACACATTTATCATATTGGCCAAAATCTTTCCACTCGGTATAGTGAATCACACTAGAGAAGGTTGATGCAGTGAATGGAGATTGGGCGGGGGGGGAATTCCTCTGCCAGCTCCATCAATTCAAATGGGCCTACTCTAACTGCAACTTACTTTAGCTATTTGAAGCAACAGAAAGTACAGAGGAGTTGATCCGTTGATTCAATCCACCTATTCAAGTGGAATTCATTATGCTAAACAAATGGAATCTCGCCCAGGATGTAGTTTGATCCTGAAAGGAGACATTATCGAAAGAAATTTTTCAAAGAAAATTTTCCGGTAAGATTTCCAGAAAGCTTTCTTTTTCTTTTCTTATCCTCCTTCTCCTCCTATATTTGTATATTTTATAATTCTTTTTAAAACACACACACACACATGACACAGTCATCTAAATTCCAGGAAGAACGTTTCTGAAGAAAGATTCCCATCTCATGTTGTTCGTTTTCCCCCCTCAGGGTATACTGTGTCAGAAGGTCTTATGCCGCGTATCATGAGGTAATTTGAAAATGGTTCTGTTCACACAATCGTCCTCTTGATGTTATCATGATTAATTCTTCTTAGATTGCCTTCCCAAGAACCATCTCCTCCACTTTGCCTACCACAAGATAATATTTTCCAGAGTGCCGTAGTCTTCTCTTTTTGCAGTCAAGACCTCCCCTGATGCCACGGCACCTTGAAGACTGTTCATTATCTCGTGTTCTTTAGATGGCTAACGAGAGTGCTCTTATAGACGTCATCCAGTCCAGTGGGACTTTCTCCTGCCCTCAATCAATATGGAACTCCATCTTGAATCCAGGTGTCAACATTAATATACCATCCCAGAATTCTACACATGCTCTGCACCCAGAGCATCGTCAACGCCTCCCCCCCCACACACAACCTTTCCTTCTGCACCAACACCATCACAATGGTCAACCACAGCTGTAAAAACAGAGGGGGGGAGGAGGGAAGAAGCAAAAACCCCACCTTTAAAAAAAAATTAAATGTTCTTCAAAATAAAGCAAACATGTTTACCTCTCTTTAAAAAAGCAAAGAAAAAGGAAACCGACACACTGGTTCACAGTTTGAGAACATTTCAAGTAGACAGAAGAAAGGTGTTGATACAGCATGAGGTGATAGAGCAGAACTGGACTTTGGTCAGTTTACTTCCTATAAAAGAAGTTGAAGTAGGGGCTTCCGTTTCTGAGGGAGTCAGACTGACAAATCACCCTCTCCTTTCAAGGTCCAGATATTTTGTAAAGGCACATGTCAGTGACAGGCATGTGTGTGTGTGTGTGGAGAGAGAGAAAGAGATAAATATAAAAATAGCTCAGTCAAACCTTCTGTATTAGAAGAGAAATCAGAGATTAAGCAGCAGTCGGAAGGATATTTCAAGAAGGTAAACAATATCGACTAATTTACTCCATGATCGTCGTTTACAAACCCTTCCTGCTTTTCATCCTTGTTTATGGCTATGATGATTAATAATAATATGCTTTGCACAAAAATAATATCTGAAAATGAAAGAGTTTTGTACAAATTTTCCAGATGCCGGCAAGTGCGGGCTGGTGCCAAGGCGCCCGCCAGAGAAAAATTTACAATTGGATGGCATACAAAATGGGCGCCAGCAAGCCACGCCACAGATGCTCTTGAGAGAAGATCAAGAACAAAACAAGCCCCTTTGAGGTAATCTTGAATCGAGAAAATATTTCACATCCACTGACGTCAGGATGGAAACCTTGCTAGTTTCTTTTCTTTCTTTCTTTCTTTCCTTGCTAGTGTCTTTTCTTTCTTTCTTTCTTTCTTTCTTTCTTTCTTTCTTTCTTTCTTTCTTTCTTTCTTTCTTTCTTTCTTTCTTTCTTTCTTTCTTTCTTTCTTTCTTTCGCTTCTCTTTTGAGAGAGAAAGCCTCAGAGAAAACCCAAGGTATGTATTCGGACGCTCTTAGAAAAGGAGAGGGGGATCCGCTGGCTTTCTTTATAACTTTCGTGAGGCAAAATTCCAGCTTCAAAATACCTTCCAAGAGAAGGACGGAGCAGGGACGTGTCTTTTCCAGCACCACTTTCAAAGGAGTTTTACCACATCCTTCAATCATCGGTTAAAAACAAAGGAAAACCGAGGCCGATTCATGGTGCTGAGAGACACTGCTTGCTCATTCTGATCCAGCAGTCGGTGGTGGCTTCATCAGCTGAGGCGCAAGATATTGACTGTTCCAAATCCTTGTTTCTTCTCGTAAATTTACCTGTAATCCCTGCAGGTAGAGATCACTGCTTGGCTTGCAACCAGGGTCATCTTCCCTTGAAGAAGTGTATTTTATCAATTGAGGCCAGAGTCAACGTAAGGTTAGATTCAAAGTCCCCATCGTGGACGCCCGTCTGACGAAAAGCCCCTGCCGAGGGATTGTTTTCCCAGTAATGGTGCCAGTTTCCTTTGCTGTCTGCCCCAAAGCCATATAGACTTACCTAGAAAGAGAGAGAGAGAGAGAGAAAGAATCTTTGTTAAATTCTAGCTTCTAAATGTATTTTATTGATTTCAAATATTTTTGTGCCAGCACAGACTGGAAGTCGTCATGGCGACAAAGCCATGCTACCCATTGCTTTTGCATGAGGGGGGACATGAATGGTTCCAAATTGTCCCCAACAATACATTCTTTAATTCGTACGTAACCTCTCTTTCTACCAGCCTCAAACAAAGCATAAGCCATTTGCTTTTCGATTTTATGTCAGGCCATTTGCTCTTTTTGATTTTATTATGTTTTTCATTGTGGTTGAGTGTGTTTTGCATTTTCAGGGTTTCAGAGACCCACAGTGACTTGTGGGGACAGAAATCTGGACCCCGTACTGACAACACTCGGCTACCCCTGGTATAAAATCAAATCTTGCACAGATTTTTGTCAAGGGTTGCCATCCCTTGACTTCAATCCAAAATACGGGATATGTGCATTTTGTAAAGAAATATTTTAAAAAAGAACTGAGTGGTGGTCTATGGCTCCAGTTCCTGGTGTGTCGGGAATCCATTCCAGATGTTAGTCTGTAATTTACAGGAGGTATGTATGATGTAGAACTTATTTGAGCAATAAGGGTTCAACACTTTGGATAAGTTCTGTAAAGTGAAGATTGAAACTCAGGGTGAATTTCTAACATCCCCAAAAGTCAAGTCACTGCAACATATACAGTATAAGATGCCCTTAATATATAGAACTAATGTTCTATGCATGCATTAAAAATCACAAGCCACTTGCAAGAAAAAAAATGTGGCAGACCTCCATTAGCATGATTTATAGGGATTCACTTTCAAGATTAAAGTGCTCAAAGCCCTGAAATTCTTTCCGTTACAAGTACATTTTTGGATATTGAAATATTTTATGTAAAAATTTGAATCTGTTTCAGTTTAAAAAACGGAAACAAAACTCTCTGGCATCTGTAGTCTAGAGAGTGAAGCTTAGCCTTGCACGCACCTCATCGCAGACATGAAGGGCAAATATGACGGACAGAAAGCCCTGGTGGTGAAGACTTCTGGGAGTTGTAGTCCAAGAACATCTGGAGGCCCAAGGTTGGGGACCACTGGTCTAGAGAATGAAGCTTAGCTTTGCACGCACCTCATCGCAGACATGAAGAGCAAATATGACGGACAGAAAGCCTGTTGATGGGTATCTTCCATGGTGTTGTAACCAGCTGTCATACACGTATTTTATAAAGACGGGATGATAAACCAGGATCTGCTTAGAAAGAAGTGAGATGACTTGTTAGTTTCATTGCAAATATTCAAAGATTGTGAAACAGTCATTGTTTTGAACTAGAGTTTAGAAGAAGATACCCGGCCCATCAGGGAGGGTTCAAGAAAACATTTTTTTCCAAACTTCTGGATGCAATCCCAAATGCAAAAGAAACTACAGTGGTGCTTTGCTTTATGATTGCCCTGTTTAACAATGAAACCGCATTACGATGAACTTTTTGCGATCCCTTTTGCGATTGCAAAACAATGTTTCCTATAGGGGAATTTCGCTTTGCAATGATCGGTTTCCTGCTTCGGGAACTGATTCTTCGCAAAACGACAATTTTCCAACAGGTGATCGGTGGTTTCAAAATGGCCACCGGGTAAACAAAATGGCCCGCCGCTGTTTTCTGGGACGGATTCCTCACTGCACAGGCAGTGAAAATGGATGCCCTATGGAGGATCTTCGCTGGACGGTGAGTTTACAGCCTTTTGGAACGCATTAAATGGGTTTTAATGGATTTCAATGGGTTTTTTTCTTTTCGTATTACGTTTTCATTCTACAGAGAACAAATTAACGTCGTAATGCAAGGCACCACTGTATTAAAAAGATATTTGGAAGTAGATGAACTTCCCTGGATTCGAGATCACTGAACTCAAGTTCATTAGTGCAGTACAGTGGGACCCCTGAGGCTGTCCTTAGAACAACAGTTATGTCTTTGTATATTCTTCTTGCTAACCTAAAAGCTGGAATAGGCATGGCTATCGGGGCCCCATCTTCCCTCATTATGGTGATAAATCAGTGGTAAGCAGCTAGTAATCGGAAGCAAAATCAGAAGCTTCTGCCCAGTGAGTTTCCACGCATCTGAACCCAGATCTCTACGATCCTAGTCCAGCAGTCACCCCTCAAATGTATGTTGGCAAAAATTAACTCCATGTTAAATGAAGGCAAAATTGCACACATTGCTCAGTGCAAGGAGAAAATGAGGGAGGAAGAGAATTACAAGCGACACTTTGAACAAATCAATAGCAACATGTCGTTGAGCAAATCACCAGAGGTACAGTTCTCACAGCTGCCATTAGGTGGAGCTAGAGCTGCACCTTGGCCTCAACTTGATCAAATTCAGCTTGCAAACTTTCCTTTGAATAAAACCTTTAACAGTTTTAGATTCAAATGGCTGGACTTGATTTAGCATATCCTGTCTGAAATTGCACCGGTATGGAACAGGGGGTGGGAAAAGTTAGTTTTTTTCTGGACTACAACTGCTAAGCTTTTGATCCACTACACCCATTGTTATGCTTGCAGGAGAATTCTGGAAGTTAAGAGTCCAAAAAAGGAAGTTTTCCAGTATCTGTATGGGGCTGTGAAGGGGCAGGAACTAAGCTTCCAGCACCTCCTTGACTGATCTGCCAATCCTGGCAACAGCTCTTCCTTCCTTCCTTCCTTCCTTCCTTCCTTCCTTCCTTCCTTCCTTCCTTTCTGTCAGATTGCCATTGTATGACAGAAAGTTATTACTGAGTGGCAAAGTAAGTCTCTCTTGGCAGAAAGATCCAGAGCAGTGATTCCTTCCTTCCTTCCTTCCTTCCTTCCTCCCTTCCTTGACAGATGGAGTAATTGGAAAACAGGGGAGGTTACAAGCAGGAGAAAACCTATAAAATTGAAGGATCAAAGCCTCCTATAGAAGCAATTTAAGACCGCAAGCCTTTGTTAAACCTATGACAGTGCAAACATGCATAACATCATGGTTTGCAATCTTAGTTAGGGGGACCACCTTAACCATAGTTTTGCTAGGCTGGATGCAAAAACTGGAAGAAAAATGAAAGCATTAAATTATGTCTCCAGTACAGTGTTGGTACTGGTAGGAAGGAAAAGGAGGAGGAAGAGAGTACAGGCGTACCTCGGTTTATGAATTTAATGCATTCTCTGGGACATTTCGTAATGCGAAAAATACGTAAACGGAAAACACAGTTTCCCATAGGAATACATGCATGGGGGCAGTGCTATAAACCTCCCAGGTGCAATGGATTCCGGGGATACTTTCTTTGTATTGTGAAGAAAAATTGTAAACCGAGGCATTATTTTCAATGGATTTTCATTCGTAAACCGAAAATTATGTTAACCGAGGTGTTCGTAAAGTGCGGTATGCTTGTACGTGTGAGCAGAGAAGTGGTATATCAACCACCAGAAATTCCAGACTCTAACCAGATCAAAGCAATAACTCACCTTGTCTTTGTTTGCTTTTATTTTACGGGGAACTGGAATATATGTGCTGTTAAAGAAAGACATAGTTGAGTCAATAAAAGCTGAATGATTTGAACAAATAGTAATAAAAGCATGCGATCATTTCTATGTTCAGGGTTTCAGTAAATGTACACTTTCTAAGTAAGAGATGAAATAAAAATGCAGAGATGGTTCATTTCGAAGAAAAGGTCTCAGCTGCTGGACGGACGGTTTGCCGCCCTGGAACAGCATAGCTGGCGTTTGCCCCAACGTCCTGGATGGGCGCGAGACTGTCCTGGGTCACGTGACTGGTTTGGGTGAGGGAGTGCGGTTATTTAAGCAAGCACTCCCACTTGATCGCCCTCTTTCCTGTTCGGGCACCCATCCGCCCTCCCTATTTCTAGTGTGCTTTTTATGGTCGCCGGATAGGAATTTTTGACCTTCATCCTGATTGGCTTTTGGATGTGGGGATTTTTCGCCTATCCCACACTGGAAAAGGGTTGTTGGCATTTTTGGTGGTGGTTGATTTGGTCATGTTGGCAGGTAGTGCAATGCGAAAAAACAGGTAGTCTCGGTGTGTCCCGTTTGTAATTCAGGTAAGCCAACAGCGCATCCGACCTCCCGACTCTGCGGATCGTGCGATTACAGGGCCGGTGTGGGGAAGATGCGCTGGGCCACTTCTGGACCAACAGTCATCAATTAAAGATGTCTTAAGGTCTGGGGGTGTTTATTAGCGGCCGGTCGGGTTCCTGCTGTCTTTAAGACCGCTGGAACCTGGGGCCAGGGACTTGCCCAATGACAGATCAGGGGATATTTGGACACCCCTGCCTTCACCTGTTTCCGCACTACAGCAGGCCCCCTCTTTTGATAACGTTTGAAGATATAGATTGATGTGATTGGATTTAACAAAGTGTGGCCCATATTTAATCCATATCACTGTCTTGCGTCTTTATTCCGGGACTGAGGGGGCAAAGAAAGGAAACCTGGAGAAAAAAAATTAATGCAACTCTAACAGGTATCTGCAAGTGAGCAATTCACCTTTAACAATTGAGTGAGCTTCTCTGCTGTCATTCAAATGTTTATACACATTGCTTTTAGTATTCTTTCTCAGCCTTTTTATGGTGAGAAACTCTCCACGTCCTGCTTCACAATAGCATTCCTATATTTGCTCAAGAGGACAGGAAAGGGAGAAGCAGGAAAAACGTTTAGGAGACAATCCTGGTGAAATTCACACTTTTTGTTAGGCCCAGAAGTGTCCTTGGCATTCTGGTCTCGATGAAGACACTGCCAGTTAAAAAACTACTCCTCCACTAAGGGAAACCAGTGCCTCCTGGTGAAATTCACACTTTTTGTTAGGCCCAGAAGTGTCTTTGGCATTCTGGTCTCGATGAAGTCACTGCCAGTTAAAAAACCACCCCTCCACTAAGGGAAACCAGTGCCTCCTTAAACCCTGTCAGGGGTTCTTGAGAAAACCCCAAATCAAATCTTTATTGAATGTTTCAGTTCATGTTTATTACAATCTTTGCCTTGATTTTGTTATATTTTAAATTACTTTGCTTTCTTCAGCCATGGTTCCAGTTCATTATATTTATTTAGATTGCTCCCTTGTCCTGATGATTTTACAGGCAGGAATTTCATGGCACAGAGTATGGATTCTCCTCGTTTCCTTGCTCCCATTTTTCCCCCGGCCAGGAAACAAAACACAGTCAGATAATGTGCCATAGGGAGATCAATGTCTATTCCATGCATCCATTGCTATTTACAAAATCATTTTCCCCCCATGTCCCACTTGCATTAACAAGGAAAAGAAGCTGAGCACAGTGCATTGGGAGAACATCTTTTTGTACTGCAAGGGGAATCCAGCGTAAATGGATTTTTAAAAAAGGGAACCACTGTATAGCTGAGAAGTTTAGGCATCTGATTTTAGAGCCAGAGGTTGGGAGTTCAATTCCCCACTGGGCCTTCTGAACAGGGGCTGAACATGATGATGCATAGGGTCCCTTCCAGCTCTGCAGTTCTCAGATGATGATGGAAGTGTAATTTAAATCACAGTTGAAACCACTATTCAGAAAGATTTGGTTTAATTGTGTGATCCCTCCCTCCAGGAAACAGTAACCTTGCTTATGCTACTTATGTCACTTAGGGCTCAGTCACACTGACGAGAACTACTTGAATCAGGTTTTGCTTAAATAAAATCTATTTTAAAAACCTCAGCTACACGGAAGCACATGATTTTTTCTTGCCCAGGAATTGTGGTTTCTTTCTTTCTTTTAAATATCAGAAGTGAGGTATTTTACTGGGCCAACAGAAGGTCATTTATTTTAATGTGGATGTAAAATTGATTAATTTTCCATTTGTTCAGCATACGTGAATGCCTCTGTTGGTATAAACTGTATCTGTTGCCTCATGCTGGCTGCCTCCCACAGGCACTCACTGCTTCTACTATAGGCTCGCTTTTAATATATTTTTTTTAAAGGGAAATTGCAATAGTCTGACATGACAGTGAAAATTTGTGAGCCAGGGAAGAGAGGAAGGGGAAAAGCACTCCCTCTTCCTTTGCAAAGCAAAACTGACCAAAGAAATGTACTGTACAATATTGGAAGCCTCTTCACTTTGCTTTCACTTTGTTAAAGACTTGCCTTTTTCTACACAAAACTGCAGAAGGATATTTGCCACACTGAAAGAATCTGCATCGGGTAGGAAATTAAGTATTAGAGGAAATCTTGGATATGCTAATCAATCCATCAATCAATGTGCCATTATTACTGGAGACACAAACCCAGTTTTTGAGAGCTGCCCATTTTTCTGATTCTATCCCCCCAAACTGAGTACTAGGTGACACAAAGGGATTAACCTAAATAAACAATACAGAGGACCCCACAAAAATGAGTCTCCTATCTGAGGACTAGTGAGCTATATTTGTACACTGCCACTTTTTAAGAAAAAGATTATCTGAGTGCCTAGTGTCATCACATAAAACTAGAATTTAGAGTTGCTACATTATAGTGAGAACTTTTCAGCTTTAAAATTATCAGCCAATTAAAAAAGCATATTAAGAATTAGGTTCCCTTGACATTTAGCCCAGTCGTGTCTGACTCTAGGGGGCGGTGCTCATCCCCGTTTCCAAGCCACAGAGCCAGCATTTGTCCGAAGACAGTTTCCGTGGTCATGTGGCCAGCGCGACTAGGCACAGAATGCCGTTACCTTCCCACCGAGGTGGTCCCTATTTATCTACTTGCACTTTTACATGCTTTCGAACTGCTAGGTTGGCAGAAGCTGGGACAAGCAACAGGAGCTCACTCTGTCACATGGATTTGATCTTATGATGGCTAGTCTTCCAACCTTGCAGTACAGAGGCTTATGCAGTTTAACCCACAGCGCTACCACGTCCCCTATTAAGAATTAAAAGAGATTAAAATTAAAAAGCTGATTTAGGTTTTACAATCTTTAAATCTTCTTTTTCTTAATTTAACCGTTGTTTTTTATCCATTCCGGACTGAGCACATCTCTGTGCGTTCTCTGGACAGATACTCTGATCTCTGTGGCTAGGGAGCCAGGTTTTCTAGTGTCAGAAGAGAAGAACTTTGGACCCATTGCAAGTAAATTCTCCCAAGTAGACAAGTTGTCCATGTCAGGAGCTGCCATTTCCTAAGCTGAGTCCCCCACCAGTGCAACCCTATCACTTCATCTCTGCACCCTACTGCCACCACCATCGTGCATTGTGTTAGTCAGAGATGTTCAGGCTGGGCTGTGTCTTCTGATGCCATGGACAAATAGTTACATGCTAAAAATATATATAAACCACTTCTGAGTACTCTGTACTGGGAAAACCTGAAAAAGGGTCACCATGAGTCAGAATTTTGATGACACATGGTTATTGCTAAGGAATTGTACTACTGTGACTTATTGTTCCTATCATACTTATGGAGGAGAATGGGGACAAAGCCAGAATGATCTTGGAGCTGGTTTCTTCACCTACTTTATGCACAGCCTCTTTTGTTTGCTCTGTTTTGGTTGGATTAGCACCTACTCATGAAACTTTCAGAGTACAGTAGTAATGCTGGTTAATAAATTTAGGAGAATCTACAAATCACAATCAGCTGTGCCATTCCCTGTGCGGTCCACAGGTTGAATGACGGTATGCTACTGAATGCCAAGGGTACAAGGATACAATAGGTTTGTCTTCTAATGTTTGGCAGGTGCTGCATTTTGAAGGCATCTGACCAGCTTCTACGGGAAACAGTCAATGGGCTGTTGATATAATCTAGGAAGGTTCTTCTCATATTGCTGCAATTTGGCTGCCTGCTTGATTTGTTGAGTTCTTCCATATTAAGTTCATGGCCAGGGAATGTAGAGATTGGTAACACAGGGAGCCGTACATTCCCAAAATATGAGAATATGGAGCTTTTTTCAGTTTTAACTCCAAGAATCCCTGGGGATACAGAGAGCTGTATTCAAAAAAACTAATTTTCCAAGTTCTGGAATTAGATGGCTTACAAGGTGCTATTGGACTGTCATTCTCAAGCTTCTTCACCATTGGCTATGACTCGTCATAGGCTTATGGGAGTTCCACTCCAATAACACCCAAAGTACAGTACTCCCCATCTCTCGGTTAGGTTGATTTATTGGGCTGCCAGTGTACAAACCCTTTAATGAGAGTTAAGTTAAAAATAGCCACCCATATCTCATGACTGTACAGATAATAAAAAAGCCCAAAGCTTATATCAAGTGTCTTCCTGGTAACTACAGACAGCTGGTTAGTGTCTTACTTCAACAAAAGAGATGATTCATTTTGCAATAAGAGATCTGACCAATTTTAATCATGAAACTTTCATTTCATTTTTAATCTGGTGACCTAGCATGGCAGGATTGTCAGCAGACTGGAGAATTTCAGCAGGCTGTCCTTAGAAGAACAGTAATGTCTTTATGTATTCTTCTTGTTAACCTAAAAGCTGGAATAGGCATGGCTACCAAGGCCCCATTATGGTGATAAATCAGTGGTAAGCAGCTAGCAATCGGAAGCAAAATCAGGCCACTGGGAGAGCATCAGTTGGCCCACCACTAATGCGATGAGCATCAACTGGTCCGCTTTCATGGCTAAAAGGAGCCCGTTCACATTTGTCCAGGTTTAGATTTAATAGACACATATTGGTTATGACCTTGGCATCTCTTCCACTTGTGGTCCAGGTCAGCTTCTGGTTTCCCTCCTAGATGTCCTAATGATCGTCCACTACAAGGACAGGGCAAGGCACTTCTAAAGCCATTGGCAGTGCCAGCTCCACTGCAGGGGCAACTTGATTCCAAGTTGCAAACCCAAATTGAATTTCCCAAATTCTTTGCTGAATCGTCTCCGTCAGTCAATCCGGCTGCAATGGGTTCTCAAGGAATCTTGAGAGCCGAGGCTGTCAGGGTTAGGAAAGCAGGAAGCCCAAGACCCTGATCTTTGTTTAGTTTGTTGCTATGATATCTCATTTCACTGGAACTAGAAACACCATTTGCTGCTGGGAAAAAGTGCTTCTTAGCCCTGCTTCTAAAAGAGCTCAGCCATGATGATGGAAATGCAATGAGGAATGTGGTTGTGCAAGCCCCATGGCTACTGATTGGACAGCGCCTGTGCCATCCTGGCCATGAATAATGCACATACCCTTCTCTGGGAGTCAAACACCTCATCATACAGCATGGTCAATTTACATTTTTATCTTCTAGTGCCCAGAACCCCAGCTAGCAGGGCCAGTTGCCTTGACGGCTGGTGGATTCTGGGATTTGTAGTTCCAAAATTCACTTTACCAAGCTCTACTTCGGGAGCACTGAAGTCTTTAAGCTCCTCTTCTGCTTATCTAACCTTCCCAATTTGGCTCACTCTTGCAATTGCAGACTGCTAAAATTCTCCTGCTCCCTCTCCATCTGATATCTATTCTTTGGTGCCTCCCTGACCCTTCCGTTTCATTTACTGAGTCTGTAAAACAGCTGTGGTTCTGATCCAGGACAATTCAGACATCAGCATCTGGATGGCAGTTGTCTTCCCATTGCTAAATGAGGGCCTACCAAGCTCCACTCAGGAAATTTACAATGCAAGGAGTACAATGGCAGTCTCAGAGATGCAAATGTGGATTTATGAACCAGGGTGCCTGATTCCTTGAATGGAAGTGGAAAGGAGGGATGAGCAGATTCCAGGGGTCACATACCAGATGTCAAAAACCAGAAGCGGCCAAAACCTACTGCTGGTATTTGAAAGAGAATTTTGCAAATACAATAAAATAATAAAATCATCATCCTTGTAGAAATGCAGAGCTGGAAGATGCTTTATAGAACTGCGCTTGCTGAAGATGCAATTGTTCTGTCTGGGTTGAGTCTGAATTTTTATTTGATGGGCAAATGGGAAGTTTTTCTTTGGGAGGGGGCAGTCTCCGGAGATAGGATATTTGGAGACCTTTGGAGCCTGCTTGCAGCCTCTGGGACATAGGTTCCCATGCCTGGAACAAGGGGAGGAGTCACCAGAGTAGACACGTTCTAAATGGGCGGTATAGAAATCTAATAAATAAATAAATAAATAAATAAATAAATAAATAAATAAATAAATAAATAAATAAATAAATAGGGGGATGGTTCCATTTTTGGTCTCAAGTGGGCTAGAAAGGATGTGTTGCTTTCCCCAATCTGGAAGCCCTCTGGATGAGTTGGACTTCAAACCTTCCCCCAATCATCCTGTCCATACAAAGTTGGTAGCTGGGGATGATGGACAATGTTGTCTACCCCATCGTCTGCATGCCAGGTTGGGGAAGGTTATAGGAATACCTATGTGCCCATGATGAGGACTGCTTAAACAGAAGGCTACTCTCATAGTTTCAGATACTCATCCTTTATCTTCCTGGGTGCTTTTTTGGCTATAAGGAGCGAAACCTGGAAAACTGAAATGTCCTTGTAACATACATATAGAAGTTTGAGTTAAAAGGTAGGGTGGGTCTCTTCCTTCTTCTCCACCAAGTGACTCTGAATAACTTTCTGCAAGAGATATCAGCAGGTAGACCACAGAGATGTCTATGGGATAAGGCTCATGGCAGTTTCCTATCCCATTCTATAAGCTTCTTCTGCTCTTATCTCTGATCAGTGATCAGAGATAGGAAACTATTTAAAGCTGAGGAAGCTGCCGTATGGAACTAAGACCTCTTTTCTTTTCGGACCCATCACGTGTCCTGTTCAAGTTCCCTCCACCTCCTGTTGCGCATGGGTGGTGGGGAAGGGTGGAGAGTGAAATACCATCGAAGACAAATTATTCAAAGCTTATTTTGAGCTATGTGAATATGGCAGGAACAGTGAATGTAAAGCCAACAGCAAAAGACATTTTGTGGTGACCTTACTATGTAGAAAGGTTAATGAAAAGACAGGTGGGTGGCTCCTGTCTTTTGGATGGTTCCGCTTGAGTTCTCGGCTCTCTGCCTGCTCCTCAGATGGACTTACTGGTTGATGGTGCCTGTGGTGAGGGCGCTGGTGACCCAGCGCAAGTCCAGGGTTTTAAAAGGGATAAGGATCATGCTGACGTTCTCCCCGAGGTCTCTGTAGCTCTCTGGGTAGACAAAGTGATGCGTCGTTTTGCTTCCGACGTCCTCCTCAAAACCGACCGTTGGGGCTTTGTTCATTCTGTAGTTGAAAGGGAAGGTGGAGGGAAAGAGAAAAGGGGAAACAGGTCAACCTTAGCAATGCAATGTGGATCTTGAACAGAGATTGGAAAAGTTATTTTATTGCACAACAACATCCAGAATCCCCTAACCGTAACCTGTGCCCATGTTGCCTGGGGAATTCTGCAAGCTACAGTACCCCCCCGAAAGTAACATTTCTATGCTCTGATTCTGGATTGGTATTATTTTACCACATATGGCTATATTAGCTGAAATCCTGCTGCACAGGTATGCAAAGGGCGTATAATATTTAGAGGCAAATTTCTGTAAGTTAAGAAACTGGAACCTTAGCAATGCAATGTGGATCTTGAACGGAGATTGGAAAAGTTACTTTATTGGACAACAACCTCCAGAATCCCCCCTGGCAACATAGCCCATGCCCATGTTGCCTGGGGAATTCTGCAAGCTACAGTAACCCCCAAAAGTAACATTTCTATGCTATGATTCTGGATTGGTATTACCTGAACGCATATGGCTATACAGTGGTGCCTCGCCTGACGATGTTAATTCGTTCCAGCGAAATCATTGTAGAGCAAAAACATCGTCAAATGGAATTTAAAAACCCATTGAAACGTATTGAAAACCGTTCATTGCATTCCAATAGGCTGAATAACTCACTGTCCAGCGAAGATCCTCCATACGGCGGCCATTTTTTGTGCCTGTAAAGTGAGGAATCCGTCCCAGAAAAAAGCAGGGGGCCATTTTCTTCAGCCAGTGGCCATTTTGAACCCCGACGATCAGCTGTTTGCTGATCATCGTAAAGTGAAAATCGGTTCCCATTTAAACCATCGTTTTGTGATCACAAAAACAATCGCAAAAACCTAATCGTACAGTGATTTCCTCATTAAGCGAGGCAATCGTTAAGCGAGGCACCACTGTATTAGCTGAACTCCTGCTGCAGTTATGCAAAGGGCATATAATATTTAGAGGCAAATTGCTGTAAGTTAAGAAACTGATTGCATTTAGTGCAGCTCTGTACACAACAGATCATGTCTCTGGAGATTTCTTAACTTAACAGTAATTTGCTTCCAAAAGTTGCATCATTTCCGTAACCACACAGCCATCAAATATTAAAAGTCAGAGATGGAACTCTGACTTACAAGTAAGACAGCCACATTTCTCAAAAGCAGTTTATACTTGATCAAAGCATATACAGGAATAGCTTTCAAGAACCAGAATTTCTTTGTAGAGAAATTCCCTCCGGCCTTCAACTTAGGAACTAGGAATTGCTTAGCTGGTTCTTTTCAGCGGGGTGGAGGGAACTTTCAATTTTGACTAAGCTGCTTCCCAAACCACCTTTAACTCCAGAATTAAAAAAACAACATTCGAAGTGATTTGAATGTGGTCAAATGGCATCTTGCCTTTTGAGTTCCCAACCACTATTTAAGCTGCTTTGTGTAGGACAGGGCATGAGCTGAAGAGAAGGAGAAATTCAACTGGGCAAATGGGAGGAAACCCAGCGCCAAATTACTTAGCCTGATCACCCCATCTTTTTTTATTCTTTTATTCGTAACATAAAGGGACTTGGAATTTTTTAAAAGTGAAAACAGCATGAAAATGCCTAAAATAAATAGTAATCTATCGAAATCAATTCTTTCAGTCAAGGTCGGCCAAACAGAGTTTCCTTGGGGTCGCATTCTGCAAGCCCTCAAACAATAGCGTATTTCGGCTTTGCAGTCTTACTTCCAGTAATAAAGCCTTAGGGTTTGAGAGCTGTGGTAAATTTCCAGAATCAGGGGATGGAGTGGGGAGACCAGAGCAAGGGACACACAAAAAGCTACAAAACTTTCTGGCGATGGCTCCCTGGGGAAGGGTAGAGTGCTAAACTGAGGGGGCCTGACTGAAATCCTGAGAGGACCCACATTTTTGCCCTGGGAACCAACACTCTCCTCCCTACCAATGCTCCTCCATTTTGAAATGTACTGGAATAGTTAACATTTGCCATCTGTCTGTCCCAGATGATCTATCTCTGGATGCTATTTGATGGCCCTATCCTAGTGCATGGGGGGCATAGGCTATATTCTTTGCCCACCTCCGCCATACACCTTTGCTTTGACAGAGCAATCATGCTGATGAACTCCATGCAGCTACTCACCTGAAGACAAAGTCGTGGCTGTTAATGTCTTGGCCATAATTTGATTGTTTAAGGTTGCCCGAGTTCCCCACTACGGCACATCGCCTGCATTGTGAGCTGCTTCTCTCCAAAAGTTGGTCTCCATCTCCAGGAATGATCTCAAACAACTCCTGGATGGTCTCGTTGATACCTTTGGGGCTTCTTTCACCTTGCAGTTTCTGTGGAGAAGGATAGAAGAGTCACCTCAACAGCACAAAATCTTTCTCTCAGCAACTCTTGGAACTTCAGTAAGCCAGATCAAGTCTCATACCAATCCCTGGTCTCCATCGAAGCTTTTGAGACAAGTCCGTCTTCCAAGCAAGAAGCTCTAGCATTTGCTCACTAGGTTTACTTTATTTATTTATTTATTCACTTTATATCTAGCCTTTTTGCAAGAAATGGGGCTCAAGGTGGGACTACGAGAGATTAGGGTCTCATAAAATCTGGAAGCAACATCATTATTTGCTTTTATTTTTAACAGACAATCTTCACTTTTCAACATAATGATCACAACATTGATGATGTATGTGATACAGTATGAGCAACATTTAATTGTTACTTCAGAAATGTGACTTGTGTTGAAATTGGAAGATTAGGGCCATTTTTAGTGATTTCCTAACAACAACAACAGCAACAATAATGCTGAGAGTGATTGGTGTGTAATACATTATGCTTCATGTCAGTCATCAGTAACAAGAACCTGTGAAACAGAACAGCTTACACGTATTTTGCTTTCTTTCTGTTTGCTTTGTTTCAACAATGACTTGTTGCATCATCTTAGGCACTCACCAATACTCCCAAGCTCCCCTCCACACCTTCTATATAAGCAAACGGTTGCTATTTACTCCCATCATGATATAGTCATGGCACAGATTTACTCCCATCATGATATAGTCATGGCATAGGGTTAAACTGCAGTATTGCAGCCGAAACTCTGCTCACAACTTGGGTTCAATCCCAGATCAACTCTGTTCACAACTTGGGTTCAATCCCAGATAACTGTCTTGAGATTCACTCAGCCTTCCATCCTTCTAAGGTCAGTAAATTGTATACCCAGAGGGTAATCTGTAGCCTGCATAGTTAAACTGTAAATCATCCAGAGAGTGCTTTAAGCTCTATGAGGCAGTATATAAGCAGTACACTTTTGCATTTTACTGGAGGCACACTTAGTGTCCCTAACATCTTACCATAAAGCTGAACAACTTTGTACCTTTGCTTTCACTCAGAGTGGATCAATTTCCATCTCAGGACCATATGGGTCACCATATCCATGAGCCATACATGCCTTTAGCTATTGAATAACATCATGGATGCTACCTTCATGGTGGCCCTGCATTATACAGTACACTGGCAAAACAGGGCAAGCTACGGCATTGCGATACTGTAAACCCTCACCCCTGGACCTCTAAGTGACCATGTTTTGTTTGTCTGCGTCTTCCCTTACAAAATTTGAACATGTATAAGCAAGCAACAAAATTTGCTCAGCAGCTGTTCTTTCCTCAAAGTCAATTATAATCAGGAATCCAAAATAAGTCAGTTGGTAAAGCCAGAGGCAGTAAAAACCCAGTCATTGCTTTTAATGGTATTGATTTTTTTAAGGAAGGGGACGGGCTGGCTTCTCGCTGTCAACATGAATTTAATAGGTCCCTCGGATGCCGGGAAAACTACAGGCGTGGAACTTTTCAAGGACAGATTGACACAAAACCAAGATCTGGTGGGGAGACAACATTCCTGTAAAACCAGGCAACTTAACTTTCTGCCTAGTTGTGGTGCGGGTCGGTTTTCTTCTTGCTGAGTTTTCTAGTTTCCAACTTGAGTTTTCACCCTCATCGTCCTTTCTCCGGGAAAGATCTCAAAGATTCCTGATTTAACCTTAGAGCCTCCCAGAATATCCCACACCAAACTTTTGTCTTCAAAAGGGTCTGACCAAGGGTGGAAAGGGGTGGGGGGGGGAGGACTTTAACCCAAGACACCTTCCCAAGAGTGGCCACACACTACGGAGGAAGCTATGCGCATGCTGTTTCTGAATGCCCATTGCTGGGAAATAAGGATAGGGTCTTGCCTCCACGTCCTGCTTATACGGCTCTTGGTGGCATCTGGGAGGGGGGATTTTAAGACCAGATGTGGGGTTTTGATCTGATCCAGCATGGATCTTCCTTTGTTCATTCCTTCCATGCTTAGGTCCTACACAAGGGTTATGCCCCAAGTGTGGAAATCCAGCAGTCCCAAAAATATAACCCTGGGCAGCGCTCACGAATGCCGTCCTCTCACAGCTGCATGACGCATCACTCCTTGACCGAATTTGTCTGTGACAGTACAATTATAGTTTGCTACATCTCGCCTTTTCCCAAATCATTCTAGGAAGTGTATGGGGCACTCCTCTCTTCCTGCTCAAGACAGCAACCCTGAAAGGTAAGCCGGGCTGAGAAGATATGCAATTGGCTCATAGTCAGCCAGTGAGTGTCATGGCTGACTGGGAACTCGAACGGAGGTCTCCAGAGTAGAGATGGGCGTGAATCACTGGTTCAGCAGTTTGTGCTGCTTTGTTGATTGGCTGAACAGCTCTACAAAGCCCCACCTCCTCCAGTGGGCATCCATTTGGAGGCAGCGGTCGGGCCTCCCTGCCCTGTATCCTCCAGATGCTGCCTCTGAGTGAGTGCCCATCAGAGGCGGTGGAGCTTTGAAACACCGTACGCCTGTTCGGCCAATAAACAAACTAGCATGACCTACTGAACCAGTGGTTCAGACCCACCTCTACTCCAGAGTCATCGTCCAATACTCTAACCCATTTAAAAAGAACATGGGGGCTGACTAGGTCTTGTGGTTCCCTTTTCTCACATGAAAGAAAACTGGAATTGGGTGTCATGGTAGCTAAATAGCTCTTTATAGGTTTAGTCTCTCCTTTTCTGGACCACCGCTCCCATGGATCTTCAACCAGCCTCCTCCCACTCCTTCCTGCTTACCAGCCACCACTTATAGCTGTCTTCGGGCATGAAGGCATTCCGGGCGGTCAGTAAAGGTTGCATAGTTTGGTTGAATCTCTCGTCGAACCAGAGCGAGACTCCTTCTTCAGAGACGCACGTGCTGCAACCGCACGGCCTCCAGGAGTAATTCATGAGTTTTTTAAACTGCTCCGAAATTTGGTACACAAAGTGTTTGGGGTCCCAGGCGACCGTGAGGGCATTGTTCGTGTAGTTGAGCAAGAAGGAGGTGATGGTGAGGACGAAAAGTAAGGCAAATGTGAAGACTTTGAGGCTCCTCTTTCGAACGGCGAGCATCTTGTGAGGCTCTTTTTTGCCTTGGGTCAGCAACTGAGGTCAGCCAAAGCAGACGGCACTGTGCTATTTCTGCACAATCATCTTTGGCTACCAGTAGCTGTCCTAATTACTTTTAGTGTTCAAAGGAATCGATGCCATTGTTGGGCCACTGAACAACTGAAGACTCAAACATGGGTGGTCTATTTTCTCCCCTTGTGGCAATAATAATATTATTATCAATAATAAGCCAACTTCAGGTATATTTTTCTTCTGCTCTCCTTGAACAGCTGCTAATTTCTCCTCTACACATTTAAACAAAACAAGCGACGGTGATTTTTCTGTTTGCCGCCCAAGGAGACAGAGAGGAAATGATCAGCAGTGTGAAATATACTTTCTCCTCTTGTTAGGTGAACTTCAAAAGAATAAGCCCTGGGTAAGGAAATACTACTTTTTCCCCCTTGAAAATGGATTTATTAAAGACTCTCTGATGAGTTCAAATCAAGTGCGTAGAGTCCAGAACAGATGGCAGTCAAGAGTCATGGAAGGTACTGGAATGCTTCCCTTTTTCCACCTAGAAATACAAAACAGAAGGAAGAATTTCACCACAAAGTTTCGTGGGTCTTTTACGCGACACTCGTCATTGATTCAAACAAAGGGACATTACATATTTATGCAGTCCCCAACAAAGAGTCCTTACCATTTTCCCCCAAGAGTATTTATAATGCAATAAATGTCACGGATTTGGCGACAGTAGAAATACGCAGAGTTATTGAAGACACAAGTTCTTCTTTTGTTGCAAGACGGTTGTATTTACAAGAATTTACAGATATTTACAGGCAGGCATCTCAACAGCATGGCAGGAGCTCTTTATACAAACGGGCATAATGCATGGCAGCAAGTGGTAGAGGAGGAAGAGAAAGACACAAAGACACTGTCTACTTATATACATGTACATGGCATGTTTAGTCCAATCAGAAGACAGATGACTTCATCCTTTGCACCTGGTCTTCTTCTTGTTTCAAGACATTGCATCATCTCCAGAGTGATTCAGCATTCTCACATCTGTGCACAATGGCAGCTCGTTAATGAAACACTTATACATGTTCAGGCCTATAAAATTTCTATATTCTGACAATAAATACCAGAGGAAGTGAAACCGATGGCCAACTGGATTCTCTGTTACACAACTGGAACACAACGTACATCCTTTTAAGTCACAGCCTACAAGCTATAATGTGTTGGCCATTATCAGCAGACAGGCCTGGGGATCCCATGATGATGGAAGCTCGGAGGGCAACCGGGTCTATAACGAATATTCAAAATGTCCACTGCTTTAACTGGATTAAACACAGGGGAACAGCCACAGCTCCTCTCCAGATGCTCCACAAAACAGGTAGCCATGGATGGCTGTTGTTGAGCTGTCCTGGTTAGCATGAGTTTCTTGGGTTGGTGCTAAGTCTCTGATGAGCCAGGGGCAGCATCCTCCAGCCAAATCACCCTGTCCTGTTGTTGAGCTGTCCTGGTTAGCATGAGCTTCTTGGGTTGGTGCTAAGTCTCTCATGAGCCAAGGGCAGCATCCTCCAGCCAAATCACCCTGCCCCTTAAACGATCCAAGCAATACTCTTCACCCTTTAGCATTGGGACCTTGTGGCCTTTAAAACTATAGTAATCTATAGTAACAAAAGAAGATGTGTTTGTGGCTGAGTTACAGCTGCAAGGCTATGAAACCCAGACAGATTCAACATGCATGCCAAGGAGACCCTGGAACTGCCCCCCTGGGGGATATTTGAATTTTAAAATAGAACAATTCACACATTCTGGAGGATATACTCTAAAACAGCTAGAGGACACTGAGTTCTCTATCTCTCTCTGCAGAGAAACAAGACAGAAATAGCTAAACTGTTGACCCCCAGCTACACAAAACCTTATATGAGAGAAGTAGGGTTATAAACATCCAGAATGACCAGATACAGCCTTTTCCAAGGCTGTGTAAACGTGTGTATGTTGTCCACTCTGTTCTGATGGGATTATAAACCAGTGAGGTCAATGAAAGCCACCCTCGCTCCCTCCTTACAGTCCTGCCTTTGCTCATTTTGTACTAATATAGCCAAGGTTTAAGGTCTTCCAGTTCAGAATTACTGCTCAAGCTCAAGCAACTTTCCACTCCTTCGGTGCCTTTAGGACTTCCGCTTCCCTCACACCAGAAAGTGTTTCCTTGAATTAATCCAGCTGTCCAAAGATTTTTGATTGGTATGTTTTTAAAGAAAGGCTCACACAGGACAGAACGTGGTCCCCGTCTGAGCCTAAGCATGAAAAATGTGCAACCCATTTCATGACAAGAGAGCCAAGCAGTATCTGAAAAGACTTGGAAATGGTACTCTGGCGGCTTTGGCGTCATCATATATCATTGGCAAAGGCTGAAGGTAAGGACAGCTCATAAATCTAAGCCGGGCTGCCCGTTTAGCTCTGCCTGTCCCGAACCTTGAATGTCTGATACTCCCTACAGAGCGAAAACCGGCACATTCAGGCTCAGTTTAGAATTTACCAGTGTCCATTCCAAAAAAAGAAAGACCTTCACTAAATCATTGTTGTCACACTGACAATAGCGCAGGTGAAACAGAAGAGTAGCCAACGGGCTTTTCTACAGAAACCGAGATGGGTTGTGGGGAGGGCAACAGCATCAAATGAAAGGATTTATCACTTAAATTGCAGGCCAACGGTATCACACTCGCTATAATTATATAAAAGACAATTCCCAAGGTTCTGTTAGACTTGAGGGCAGGAGTGGGCAAAGTGTGGCCACACATGGACACCCCAAGATCCCTGCTTTCCAGGGCCATTCGGGAAAATATTTCTGCATATTTGGCCCCTCGAACCAGCTTTTGTCCCAGATGGGCCTTTTCTTCAAATCTACAAGTAGCATCAAGGAAAGTTGGGTACAAAGATGTTGACAGACATGGGACTGGGTTGAAACCAACAGAATGAAATTTAACAGAGATAAGTGCAAAGTTCTTCATCTAGAGGGGAGGGGGACCAAACCAGCTAAGCACAGAAGTGAGGAGGAAGCCTGAAAGGAGGGAGGGATATGATGCCATTGTCCCGGAAAACCAAAACATCATGGCAGTTCAATGTTGCAATGGTGGGTTGCACTGGAAACAGAGAACACCGGATGAGCCCAGGAGCATCAGAGAACACGCTGAACTAAGGTGAAGGCCAAGCCTTCCCTCCACCTTTGAGGGCAGCTGTATTGTGAGGGATTTCACAAGGGGCCTCTTGTTTAGTGTAGCCCTTCCCTTTGCATACACACAGTCATGCCACAGTGACGGCAAAAGACGGAGAGCATATGTGCAGAAGGTAACTTTCTCACATCTGAAAAACTAACACTGTAAAGCAGGCACCTGCTTTTTTTTTTTATGGACAGATTAATTAGTTTACATAGACAGAAAGACTACACAAATGGACACCACTAAATATTTGAGAGATCCGGTATCTTGAGGATTAGAGCCCTGGTAAACATCTCGTCCCATTTTTATTTTCATTCTTTGTTGCCACCCTTTTGCCTGAAGGTCAGTCTAGTGATAAAGAACGGAAAAGGCAGGGACAATGAGATATAGGCAGGGAGGGTCTGGGGAAGGTACAGCATGTTGTTTATAAACCTGTCTATAAACCTTCATCATTCTTTGCAAGGATCCACCTCGTTCTGCATCCTGTTTCATTCACACTTGTATGAGACGCGACAGGCAGGAATGTGTATTTTCAGCAAAATTTTGCATTGGACAAATCTCACAGCCCCCTATCGGGAGAGAGATCCTAGCACTTAACAGAGCACAGGACTTGTTCCCTGCCAAATCCAGTTACAAAATGGCAAATGATGGGAAAACACAACTTCAGCCTAGGACTCTCAGACAATGACAGACAACATAGCTAGGGTGCTGAAATAGTCCTTTAAAATGATAGTAGAAAGCACTACATTCAGTCTGCAAGATAGACCCAGAAGACAAAATAACATAACACTGCTAGTTGTCACCTGCCTACAAAATGGCAAATGATGGGAAAACACAAAACTCAGCCTAAGACTCTCAGATAGTGACAGACAACATAGCTAGGGTACTGAAATAGTCCCTTAAAATAATAGTAGGAACCACTACATTCAGTCTGTAAGATAGACCCAGAAGACAAAATAACAGAACACTGCTAGTTGTCACCTGCAGTCCACAACTGAGACCGCTCACACACATCTCCAGTCCATCCTTGACAAGAACATTTAATTCTTCGAAGCTCTTGGTGGAAGACTAATAATTGTTTACAGACAACCTCCCAACCTTAAGCAAATACTAATACACAATGGACCACAAAACAGCTACACACACAGGGGACTAAACACTGCCACAGACCCATATGCTAACTCTTACCGCACATCTATTCTGGCAATAGGACCTAACAATGCTACACACAATATCAAAGGCACCTTCAGTTGTTCCTCAGCTAATGTGATCTATGCCATCTTTTGCCAACAACGCCTCTCTGCACTCTACATAGGACAAACAGGACAATCCTTACAGAAATGGATGAATGGTTGCAAATCGGACATCAGAAACCACAATACACAGAAACCTGTCTCCAACCATTTCAATCTACCAGGACACTCTGTAGAAGATTTGAAAGTCACTATTTTAGAAGAGAATCATTACAAATCAAGAATACAGAGGGAAACAGCTCAGATAATACGCACGATGAACATCCATAAAAATGGATTGAATATAAGCCTAGGTTTCTTAAGTCATTACTAAAGTTCATACTTATACTATTATCTATTGTTATTTTCTTCACAACTATCAAGACCATCTCTCATCACAAGGCTCAAAGGTAAAAACTGTCAGTATTGTCTACATTAACACATGTGGTCCCTCTGCCATGCTCTTTTCCTTTTATACATACTTCTCCCCCCACCCTGATATTTTTAACTGATATCTTTATCCCTGTCAGTTTTTATCCCCCCTTTCCCCCCTCTTTTTTGCTCCTACCTGGTATTTGTTTTCTGTCTCCTGCAGAAATGTTTATAATAGAACCCAACATCAAACATAGGCTATAAATTACTGCATGTGAGATGTAACCACACATTCAAGACTCTTAGAGCCAATGAAATAGTTAGAACATTTTACTTGTGAAATTGGTATTTCATTCAGTATTTCATTTCCCCCCATAGATTTGAAGAAATGGACAGGTCCATGAAAGCTCACATTAAAATATAATGGTTAGGTTTTAAGGTGCCACATGTTTTTGTCTTGTTTTTTTCTTTCCATTGGGCTTTAACATAGCTCCCTCTTTTAAAACTATTCGGCGAATAGTTGCTAAGAGGAACAATTTATGGCGAACACTTCTAGGGAAGTGCCAATTTTTTGCTCGACTGCTATAATAAGAGTTACTTATTATTAAATGAAGTTGATTTGTTTCGACAGCATCTGTTTCATCCAAGAAGCTTGGAGATTTCTATATATGAAAGTTAGTATAATGAGATGTTTAAGGTATATATAACAGAACAGTAGGATGATGTTCTGGAGCTCTAAGCTA